CCAGCTACTTGGGAGGCTGAGGCAGTAGGATTGCTTGAGCCCAGGAGTCTGAGGTTGCTGTGAGCCAGGCTGACGCCACGGCACTGACTCTAGCCAGGGCAACAAAGTGAGACTCTGTCTCAAAAAAAAAAAAAGAAAGATATCCAATTACTAATGAGTATCTCCCTCTTACACACAGTGACAAACTGTTATGTCCAAGTTGCAGTAATTGATCACTGATACATCTGGGCCACCCTTCCTGTCATTTACCTAAGCCAAGAAAAGAAAAAAATTACAAATCTACCACCCAAAACTTTCTCTTATATATAGCTCTTAGATATATTCCAGACTTATTATATTCCATAACTACACACAATCTAGTTCTTTCACAACTCTCACATCAACAATAATTAACATCTCTAATTTCATCTTTGTATCCCTAAATTGCCATTTACTCTTATAAACACCTTCTTACACCGTAAACTCTTCTTTGTCTATGTCAAAATACAAGTAAAATGGCAAATCGCATACTATCTCCACTGGCTAAATGAAAGCAGTTGTATACATTATGTCTCTGTGCATGAGTTTAACTCACTCATAAACCAATTTTTCAACTTTAACCTATAATATCCAAATTAAGTCACTCATCATTTTAACCACAAATGAAATGTCATCTCAGCCAAATGTATTATAACTTAGCCAGGTCAATTCCAAAACACCAGCCCATCCACTGAGCGTCCACCTCACACATTCTAAAAGTCCCATACCTGGACCAAAGTTTATACCACCCAGAAGTATTTCCCTCCAATGGTGAGGCTCAGATGTACCTCCAAACCCCAATTTTCGGCTCCCTTTGGTAAAGCAAGTGAAGAGAACCTGAAGTTTCACCTAAATACAAACCCAAAGGAATCTCTATTTCATACACCGCAGGTCCTGAGTTTCTCATCACTGGGAGGGTAGAAGTTGGAAGCCCCGAGCTAGGGGACCAGGTCTCTAGTATTCTTTGGCGTCTGCAGAGTCCGACGGTCGTCCACCGAACAGTTCAGGCAGCTGGCCCGCCTACTTCCCTCCCAACCCCCACTCCAGGCCCAC